GATAGATACGCATCTAACTATACAGTTTGTCTGTAATCACACCACGTTATTGAACTTTTCATTCACGTTCACGATCATTAATAATACGAATACTTATTTTCTCATTTTCATGATCATGTCCCCAAACGTGGAATAGACACCGTTAAAACACGTTAGGTAATATAGTGTCAGACAATGAGGCGAAATGTCAATTCTAGTCGTTGTCATCAAGTGCACGATCAATCTAGTTTCATAGTTGTTGCGTCTGGGTACTTGGATCATCGACTTGTGTTACGAGTGAACGGGAATTCACATGGCCATGCAATTTAATTAGAAGAAGGTCGATTTGTGTAACAATTGTCTCCTTTAATCAAGCATTATAATCTCAGACGCATATTGCCTCCAAGATCTCGTAGAGAGCGAGAACCACGATACTTGTTTGTGCTATATTCTCTCGCGTGTCTCTCACTATCGCGACCACTGTTCAAAATACATTTATCCGAATGAACAGTGAACATGATAACGAAAAGAGATAATACACACCATTTGAGATTTGTTAGATTTCGGCGTCCCAATGGAACGGCTTGTATGACGCAAGCAACCAGTTATCGTCATCGTGGTTCCATTGGGCCGTAATTCCGTGCCTGGATTCACGCGATTCAGCCACATATTTTGAAAACATTCCAAATGCCGTTCGATGCAAAAACAATCTGTAATATTGTCAAATCCAGTCAGTAGTGCTGATTAGATTTCCTATTTGAGATTATATTTTTTGAGATTACACTTTTATATTCGCTACAACAAGTACTAGTTTCCAGATTCTAGATCGACGTAATATGTGAGATGGGAATTAGCCATTAATTGAGATGCCTAAACAAGACTAGTGGCACTCTCGCACTCAACGAGATCACGGCGGCCATTTCCGTCTAAGGTCTACTTGAGATGAGATAGATACACATCAACAACTGCATATAGTTATACGTAGTTTTTAAATAGAAAATTAGGTTTTATATTACCTCACTCGGTCAAGTGTATTGAACATAATATACATTAATTTACAGATTAAGCGCAGATACATATATACACCCAGACAATGGCGAAGCCAAGGAACACCGAGAGCTCCTAAAAACTCTGCAAGCACATTACGAAATTGGGGCATTTAGACCGTTCGCAGGAGGTATGTACATTTCTGATCATTATGCAAATTGAGTCCCGGATTTATTTAAAATAGTGCGCGATGTAATACACGGATTTGATGACTATGCGTCACGCAATCATTCATGTTTCGTTAACAAGGACACATTGGAAGGGGGTAAATCTATCAAATGACTAGTTGATCGCCAAATGAGGGTGCAGCAATTTATTAACAGTGCGTATTTACTAACTTGGTTCAAACCATTACACTGCTTAGTCTATAGAGCACACTACACGTATATAATGCATCCGATTGCCCACTGAACTACTGCTTCTGTAACGTTTAAGAGATGACCTTCGGTGTGGACATTATTTGTATAGAACTATCGAAATTGTAAGTTCTAGGTATCGTACGAGAACAAGACTACCAGCAACTTATTTGTGATAAAATCACACCTTTTTAAAAGACGATATATAATGACGGTCTTCGATAAAATGTTTAGCTATCTACAAACTTTTAACATCGTTGTTTTTGAAGTCTCCATGTGGCCTCTTCTACTAAAGAGACTGATGTTATAGATACATACATCACATTACAAACTCCCAGTAACAGAATAATTCAGCCACAGAAGACGAGTGATCGATTTTCACATCCTTATAAGTACTAACGGCAAATGGAGTTGACTCGATGTAGTGTACGCTTTGATTTACTTTGTATAATTAAACTGAAAATGAAATTGGCAATAAACCAATTGTGCTGATTAGGGTCTACAAATGTTTTTTTTTTTTCACGATTATAGTAGGATGTTTTTGGGAAGTAGTAATTTATATTAAATTTCTGCCCTAGACCATGTGTTTAATTGATTGGTACTTGAATCTCAATCATGTCTGTCTCGGTCTTTATTACTAGATCTAAGCGACCAGAAAAACGTTACGTACTTTTTTTTACTGATTTGAATTATTTCATCAAATCTCCCGGTACCAGTAGGTTATTTGCGTATAGAAACTCTGAAAATGTATATTTGCTCCGAAAGCTATGATATAGAAGAATACATATGGACATTATATGTAACTTACAATTTATCTATAAAGTGGAACGCAAAAGATTATGTATGTGTCCCATTCTCATCAACTTGTCGCCAGGCAACCAAACATAAATAGGCTATCGAACCGCATCCGACGTTGGCGATGAGGGAGCGTACATTTTTCCTCACTGCTTTGAAAAAGGGGGCTAGCATGCACAGTATCAAGCGATTGTTCCTCTCGATCCACATCAAGGGCAATGGATAAATATTGTGTCGAACCGGCTTTTACCGTACCCACAAACACGCTGCCACGAATAATGAGACCTTAATAAACAGTATATTACCAAATAACTACAATGTATTCACAGTGTCATTAACTCTATAGGAATAATAATTACTAAGGACACAGCTGTTACTCGAAGAGTTCAGTGATATCAAGCAAACAAACATCTCTTTTTCAAGCATCACTATGCCCTGCACTAGTACAGTCTGGGTCAGCTGTAAACTGCTTGCAACTCCTTATTTGGTAATTGCCTTAATGACGTCACAACATTCATTAATCGTGATAATAAATGCAATAAAACGACTCGCACAGAAAGATGACAAATCACAAGTCAAAAGACAAAAGTCATCAAGACAAAAGTCATTAAATGTAAAAGCTTACGCACGTCGACTAAATGTCTCCTTGTAGTATAATCAATAATAAAAAATAAAAAAAAAAAACATCTGATGGGGACGGTGAAAATAGTTCTAATGAACTAGTCTAGTCCACAACCCTGTCATTTTAGTAAATTTATCTGTAAAGATCATTGACAGACAGAAATTATATTTCTAAATCTGCATTTGGAAACAAAATAGATGAAAATACAATTCATCAATAACTATTTATCAAAAAAATAAGCAAGCAACCAGTTTATATAATAATTAACTAACCTGTTATGAAACAATTAAACGAATCAAACAGCTAATCAAACAAAAATAAGAAATGTAAATAATGAATTGGTAGGGGAAAAAATAAACAAAATCTTCCAAGGAACTAACAAATATACCCTGGTTAGCAAATATAATACAAAGAAAATAAAGTAAATAAATTACTACGGGCAAAACGATCGTGCTTAAGGTAAAAAATAAATAAACATGTTTGAAGTTTGCAGAGTTTGTGAATATCGAGAATTCCAAGTTGGCGAAAAAGGGGAGCAGAGTGAGCATGAAAGTCGGAAAAAGTGATGAATCGAACTACCTTATTTTTGTAGACAAAGAATTGGTTCTAGTAAAGTTGAATAAGTGTTTCCCCATGTTAATGATCTAGGTGACAGCATGTTTGAGAAATGTCTCCACGGACAAACGAACGGATCCAAGGACGCACGGACGAACCCCCAATTAATAATAGTCTACGAACAATTACAAAACAAAAGGTATCTTTTCCATTGTGACCGCAATTTTGACTAGTTGTAACCGCGTACGCCCTACTCTGAAATTGATTGACACCCGAGTCTAGTTCTTTGAGCTCTGACCTCTTGTCATCTGAAATAAAATACATTACCAATTATGAATAAATGTAAATATGATCTCATTCACATCTAAACCCCATATAATTCAGCACGGTTATTTTTAGCTTGTGTATGACCCTCATGCAAATGCCACCTACTCAAATGACTGGGTACACTCTTATCAACGACTAGCAAGTACACTGTGTGCTACTAAAATTGATATATAGCTTGAAGACACCATGCATGTTAACATGAACGTGTTCTTAGTTCAACCAGAATTAACTACTGAAACTGTGGTTCTGTTATAACATGAGATTTTGATTTAATGTCCGCTCCATCCGTGATTCTACAATTTTGCTGCAACTGTTATCCCTAACAATTTCAATGCATTAATATGTAAATTCATTGCATAATATTAACTGGAAATTTACATAAAAATACTCGTTCTCTAAAACTGCCCTCGTGAAAAGTGAGGCTCGCCCTACTTTAGTGCTACACACGTAAAGACCCTAGATTTAACAAATATATGTGGCTACAATGCATTTCTCTACTTCTGCTTTCTTCTATGGCCTTTTAATGTCGCGATTTTTTCCCGTCACTATGTCGCTTTACTTTCACTTTCATCACTGCGTCGTCCATCAACTCACTTAGGTAAAATTTACCCCGAAGAAAAGTCATAAACATAAACTCCGAGAACTGTTATTTATCTGTCTCTGTAATGGCTGCCGCACATGTCTGAAGTCACGTGATACTGAATCATTAGCATAACTAGCCAGTAGTAAC